ATATATATATATATATATATATATATATATATATATACATACACATACATATATATATACATATATATATATATATATATTATATATATACATATACATTTAAATATCACTCACAGCTTTGTGTGCATCGTATTGTCATAAGAGGGCCTTGCTTCCCCCTCACCCCAATAGCTATGCGCCCCCATACCACTCTATTCTCAGGTGTTCTTCTAACAAAACTCTACAACCAGTTTTTACAAACACTATTTGCAGAGTTAAGTATTGTCTTATGTACCCTATATATCTATCTTTCACTACTGTTCACCTGGGAATGATAGTTCACTCATACTATACATGCTCACAACAACAGTGAAACTGCATAATAACTCAATCAGCACAATAGAAACTATAGACCAATCAACATATGATATCAATAACCCAAACTACAGTTTATGTGAACTTGGTGATAAATATATTTATATAATATATTAGGAAATAATCTGTTCATGCACCTTCTAATTTCATTCAACATAAAAAGTGGCAATATAGCTGTAATTTTCATAAACAAACTGATCAACTTAGACTTAGATTTAGATTAATCTGGCTATATGTACAAATAAACAATGGTGCCTAATTAACTATTTAGAATCCAGTTAGATATTCTGCTAGTTATGCCCTTTCACAGCTGTTGTGGCACCACACCAGACAGATGATCTGTCACAGCTCACCGATGCATTGCAATCGGTAGGTTGTTTTCAGTTGGAAAACAAAAATCAATGAAACGAAGCAATTCACGAAAAAAAGCGGACGACCAGTGTGACTATGCACGCATGGTTGATGAATGGATTTGGCTAAGATCATTCTTGCTTTTATCCACTCACTCATACATTCAGACTAGCATTACGTCATATTTAGCAACGTAAAAAGAGCTTGGGCTACCTGTGGGCAATGCACCCAATTTTGTCAATAGCAGTTTTGCCCAATGCACACAGTGCACTCACCGGTGTTTTCAGCCAAGGTGAACAGATTAACTCTATTATAAGTGCCTACATAACGGTAGTTAATGACTGATCACATTGGCATACTTCAGCCTCGGTTGTCATAATCAAACTTTTTTTTTTTAATCAAATAAAAATTTAGAGCCACTTGAGCAACACGGTGGCGAGCTTGCAGCTTCGCACGTTGCCCTGACAAGCGAATGCGTTGCCGTTACGCTTCATTATCGGGCTCGCCGCAGATGCGCGACTTCCAGCATGACATCTCCGAGAAGTGCTTGAACGGGAGCGCGAATTCGAAGACGGCATCGCTGCCGGCGCGCGGGCACGGTGAGATGCTGACGACGAGCGACGGCCGCCGGCCGCACAGGTAGCGCTTCATGAGGTCGCGCTGGACCCCGCGCGCCTCCGCCACGCTCACGTTGGCCGACACCTGCAGGTAGGTGAGCAGCGGTGCGGCGTCGAGCACGGTCGCGAGCGAGGCGCCATCGAGCGAGCCCGCGAGCGAGACGACGGCGAGACGCCTGAGGCACGTGCATCGCGCGAGCGCGCTCAGGAACTGCGGGTTGAAGGCGACGCGCGGCTGCTCGAGCCGCAGGTCGCGCAGGCGCGGCAGGTGCGTGAGCGCCTCCCGCAGCGCCAGCTCGCAGCGCGCGTTGCCGTTATCGCCGCCGACGTAGACGAGCGTGAGGCTGCGGAGGCGCGTGCAGCGGTGAGCGATGTCCACGAGGCTGCTGCCGTGCGTGAGGCCCTTCAGCCGCACGAGCGTGAGCCGCTCGAGGCGCGTCCAGCGGCCGATCGCGGCGATGTCGTCGTCGCCGACGTAGCGGATGAACTTGCAAGCCGTCTGGTCGATGATCTCGTGGCTCGTGAAGCGGTCCGAGCAGCCCGGCGCGATCAGCTCAAACTCACACACGTCCGGGCAGCCGTCGACGACCGTGCGCAGGTTTGACGTGTCGTCGGCGTCTGCTGGCGGCCGCGTGCGCATGCCGACGCGCCGCTTCCGCGCGCCTCCGCCGCCGGCCGCCGGACGCTTGACGCGCGCGGTCAGCCGCTCGTCGCGCGTCGTCACGAGCGCGCAGACGGGCAGCGCGAGGTGGCGGAGGCGCGGGCAGAGCGCGATGGCCGCGCACGCGTTCGTATCGCTGTGCACGTGCGTGTTGCTGAGGCTGAGGTGCGTCAGGTCGCGGCAGCGGTCGAGGAAATCGAGCGACGTCAGCGGTGCGTAGTTCTGTAGCTTCAGCTGGCGGAGGCGCGGCGCGGCGCCGAGGAACGCGTCGAGACCCTGCGAGAGGTCGGCATTCGTGTCTGCGCTGTACGCGTTCACGTACTCCCACTGTTGCTCCCCGACGAGCTGCGGCAGCGACTTGACTTTGAGCACAACGTGGCGCATGCGCGCGAGCTTGTCCACCCCCGGCTCGAGCTCCTGGCCGCGCGCGAGCGTGACGGGCGCGAGCAGAGTCTCGAGGCTCGCCGGCACCGCCCGCAGCTTGTCGACCGTCACACTGATGTCGTGGTGCATCGAGTTGACGCAGATGGGCAGGCTCAGCGAGCGCATGGTCGGCAGCTTGCGCAGGATGTCAAGGTCACTGAAGAGGAAGTTGTAGAGCCAGCAGGTGGCGATGTCGAGCCGACTCTCGCAGAACTTGTCGCTGCCGGGCAGCTGCGCGAGCTTAGACATGTAGATGGCAAGCGTCTCTAGGTTCCTGCAGCGCTCAAGGAAGCTGGAGATGAACTGCTGCTGCTTCTGCAGCATCGGTTCGCACACGTCGATGGTGAGCGCACGCAGGCTTGCGAGGCCCGCCCACGAGCACGGCTTCACGGCGAGCTGGTCGGCTCTTTTCATGTGACCGCGCGCCATCAGCTGGTAGCTCCAGGACAGCTTGCGCAGTTTGCCGCGCCGCACAGCTGCAGCCACCGTGTTCAGCGACAGTTTGCACTGCAGCATGTGGAGTTCGACGACGTTGGGGCACTTCTTTACGATGGCGCTGGCAGTTTTCTCGCGTATCCAGAAGCAATTGTTCAGATTGAGTACGGTTATGTAGCAACCTCTTACTTTTACGTAATCGCATATATCGTTTTCTTTTGAATAAAACGAATCGGAGAAGTCACATTTTCTTACAAGTATACGATCTTCGGATAAGCGCATAAATTTTTTACAAGTTTGGCTAACTACTATCAAGTCCGAAGCACGGAAATATTGAAAAATATACATTAGCAGCATATCTGGCATATCGTCTATGGCCGGCGCCATTTTAGCAAGTAATGATTATGAATCGTGCCTCTTACAGGTCAACATAAACAAGAACTGTAATTTAATTCTTTACACAAAAAAGAGTTTTGCTATCTTTCACATTATAATATATATTTTTATCCACCCGTAAAGTAGATTTAGGTGTTTGAATGGTTGCTTTCGAACATTTAGACATAGATTTATTGACAAGGCATACGTAAAACCTCTCCACCGGCGGAAATGAGACTTTCGACGCTAATAATATGGCGGTAGACTTGAGACTTTCGTGTAGAATTAAACAAAAACCAACTACCATTTACAAAGAGCCTGATCATCTGGTCACACCAGGCGATGTAATAACAACAGACACCGGATTTATGAGGTAATAAAAAACGTTTTAGCAGTCGCCCGCTGTCATGAAATCCCCTTCAGTAAAACAAATGTAGTACGGGCCACTACGGTTGGTTCAAGGATAGAGAACATGGGTCCCAATAAAACCAATGTAATTTACATCAATATAAATATAATATTACATCAATATAATAGGTTAGGGTTATGGTTAGGGTTAGGATTAGAGTTAGAGTTAGGGTTAGAATTAGGGTTAGGGTTAGGTTTAGGCACATTGGTTTTATTGGGACCCATGTTCTCTATCCTTGGGCCCTACGGTTCATGGCACATGCACTTGAAGCGTTTCAACTGTAAACACACGCCGCCGCCATTGCGCGCACACTGACACATAAATTTATAGCAGGTGAGAAAGCGCGATCCCAAAAATTCACTCGACGCTCGCTGTATTTCTTACGATTTCAACACAAATACACATCAAACAGCTTCCATCTTTGCTGCTAATTGAAGTACAGTGTTCACTTGTTGTAGAAATATTATGTCTCACTTCGAAACCGAGCTGTGTCACGCGAAATCACACAAAGACTGTCGAAATTCTCGCGTTCGCTAGCACTGCGCGCGTGATGTAACAAGCTTAAGTACATGGCGGATGGCAGCGCACCGATAGTCGCAGGAGGGAATAATAACAGCATCGGATAATTATTCGCTCCTGATAGCGGGCATGTAAAATTTCTTGTTACTGTACATCCATTAGCAGAGGGGTGTACAGGGGTCGGTGTTACAGTGTAAACTTACATGGGGGCATATTGTTTTGTACATTAAAGGCAAGACGATGTTGATGTACTAATTTGTTATGAGTTTTCCTCTATTTTACAAAAGTGCCTTTGTGCCCTTCTCAAATTTTGAGAGTTGCCTTGGTGCCTTTTAAAATTGCCTCTGTTCCCTTCCATTTAGAGAAAATTCAAGGCGATTTCTCACATGCCCTAAAAAAATTGCCTTGCCCTTCTCGTCGCTTAATTCGAGCCATGGTCAGAGGAATCTCGGACCAAGGCACTTGAAGCGTTTCAATAAAATATAATGCTAAATAAATACGAAATCTATTTACTACCAAATTCTTAATGTTTCTATACTCTCTTTCAGCTATTATTGCCGACAGTTTCCTGTAAATTCCGTCCAAATCCTATGTGCAACAAACACTGACCGCCGCCATTCCTCACGCGGCTGCAGTGTGCACACTGACACTTATATATATAGTGACAAGTATAGTAGTACAAGTACAATATACGAGTATAGAAACATTAAGAATTTGGTAGTAAATAGATTTCGTATTTATTTAGCATTATATTTTATTGAAACGCTTCAAGTGCCTGTGGTCGAATGTTGATGTAGCCTAGAGGCAATTTTTAGACCACAGCAAGCACAGGCACTTGGAGCGTTTCAATAAAATATAATGCTAAATAAACACGAAATGTATTTACAACCAAAGTCTTAATGTTTCTCTAGTTTCTTTCGCCTATTATTGCCGACAATTACCTGTCCTGTAAATACCGTTCAAATCTCCTCTGCAACACAGCCACAGGTTCACCGCATGCATGCCGCTGTCAGGGTAAATAGTGCGATCTGGGAAATAGGGAGATAGCCTATTGTTTGTCTATTGTTTGTGTTCATTCATCTGATCGCATGCAGGGGGCGTTGTAGTTCTGGGAAATAATGCCATGTAAGCAACCCCGGTTAAGCAACCGGCGAAGTAAGCCCGGTAACGACTTAGCAGTATTTCCCGTGTCGCACTATTTACCGCAGTTTGGCCAGGAAATAGGGAGATAGGGTAAATAGGGAGTCTATATCTCCCTATTTCCCAGATCGCAATATTTACCGCAGTTTGACCAAGTATCTCCCTATTTCCCAGATCGCACTATTTAATGTGACACCGCCGCAAAGTGTAAACGGTGAAAGAGAGTAGAGAAACGTTAAGACTGGTAGTAAATACATTTTGTGTTTATTTGGCATTATACTTTATTGAAATGTTCTAAGTGCCTGTGAATTGGGCAGTTGTACAATAACAAATTTGTATAGCTATGGCATTTATTCATTCTTGACCTAATCAAAGCTTTTGACAGCATACCCCACAAAACATTGCTTCAAAACTAAAACAAATAGGATTTGACACATACTCTACAACACTGATTGATAAATATACTTAACACGCAGAAAACAGAGAGTGAAAATTAACAACACCATTTTTACTCCCACTCCCACAAGAGGAGTCCAACACGTGACGCTACGGTACACTCCACACAGTGTGATGATTCACCGTTATCCTCCCACTGCCAAAGCGAGTTTGTTTTGTCACGTATCAACACTTGGGGCCGCATCAATCGGCGCTATACTTAACTATGCAAGCCCATTTCCAGTTTGTGCCACGGAATGCTATTGGGCAACACACTGGCAACACACCAAAAGCAAACGGTCGGCATATGTTTCCATAACTCGGAGTACGATTGTGAGGTCACGCACGAACTCGGCTATCTCCGAAGGTGAATGCATACAGCCCAAAGACAATAGAACACTAATAGTTCTGTATAGGAATGTTCTGAATATATAATATATTCTGATAGCAATCTGTTCTAGCGTCTCTGCATTCACCTTCGGAGATAGCCGAGTTCGTGCGTGACGTCACGATCATACTCTGAGTTATGAAAACATATGGCGATCGTAGTAAACAAACTCCAGGGCAACGGTGTGTTTAGAAACCTGTGTTCTCATTGGCTAGAAAGTATAGCATCGATCGACACGGCGCCAAGTGTTGATACGTGACAAAACAAGCTGTCTTTGGCAGTGGGAGGATATCGGTGAATCATCACACTGCGTGGAGTGTACACTACCGGGACCGACCGTTACTATTCTGCATATATATTTATACGTCAACAATATATCAAACTTACTTGGAAAATATGAACTGACCCAATATGCGGATGGGATGATACATGTATGCATATATATGTCACAAATTCTGATCCAAAGGAAGCTGTTTTAATACACTGCAAATAAATGTGGAGAAAATTAAACATGTGCTCGATTACCATAATTTGCAAATGAACCCAGACAAAACAGAATTCATGCTTTTTTGGCCCAACAGCAATAAAATTGTGGATACAGACAAAATTGAGTTGGAATTAAATAACAAATCGATAGGTACCGCAATCAAGAAAAGTAAAATTTTGCGATTTTAAGGATGCGCTGCTCGACTCAGACTAAACACAGATTGTTGATTGTTTAATTATGATTTGTTATATGTGATTATGCTCTGTGCATATTCAACGGTTATTCCCACAATAATGCTACATCATATAAAAAAGGAAGACGTAGCCATGTAAAAGACACATGTTTCAGTACATGTATTTGTATTTGAAATATATGCAATAAAGATTTAATAATAATGTCAGAATTTAGAATTAAGAAAGTATTTTAGAATTAATCTCATATGAATTATGATTATATCAATAGATATCGAACAAAACATATACATTGAGTTAGTATGATAATAGTGCTATGAAATATTCATCTGTCAAAATTAGGTATAAATATTTCGGATTAGTACTGATATGTTGATCAAAATATTCACGACAAACCGCCCCAGTGGTGTTTACAAATTTCAGTGATTCAGTCCTAGTCCATTATGCAACGGTACAAATATGTGGATTTATTCGATTAAATTAATAGATATCGAAGAAAAATCGTGTGTGCATGCGTGCATGTGTACACATATATCTTGGTGTATATAAATATATATATATATATATATATAGGTTCTTTCGCTCCTGTTGCAGGATAAATGGATACATAGTTGGATTCATATCAGGAGTAAATAATAGGGAAGGAGTGTGACTTCAATAAACAAGGGAAATTCGTCATTTACTAGCCTTAGAATACCTACGATTTACTACGCGTAACTCAATCAACTTGAGCTCAAATCGTACACAGTACATTCGTCTAGCATCGTGCGAAATCGTTTCCTCGTATACACCCGCAATCCGAAGATACAAACTAAAACGTACGACACGATTTTCCATTCTGTTGCCAGCAAACTCGATGTGTTAACCGCCTAACTCGAAACAAAAGGCAGCTGTAAATAGGTCAAAGGTTAGCTCAGCGAGCTACACCGCATTGCCGAGGGTGCAAGAGTCGTTAGTAGCTGCCTTTTGTTTCGAGTTAGGCAGTTAACACATCGAGTTTGCTGGCAACAGAATGGAAAATCGTGTCGTACGTTTTAGTCTGTATCTTCGGATTGCGGGTGTATACGAGGAAACGATTTCGCACGATGCTAGACGAATGTACTGTGTACGATTTGAGCTCAAGTTGATTGAGTTACGCGTAGTAAATCGTAGGTATTCTAAGGCTAGTAAATGACGAATTTCCCTTGTTTATTGAAGTCACTCTCCTTCCCTATTATCTACTTCTGATTCAGATGCATCATAGTTCTACCAACATAGCCCTGCACTTGGAACTGTAGTGCTGGAACATGTATGCCAGAGCTACATTTTGGTAGTAAAGTGACATGCATGTATGCATCGTATACGATAAATGTAGACATCCACATTGAAAGCATATTTCCAAGACACTTGTGACAGCTTAGTGTATAATCTACTGGAGACATGTGGGTTTATAATTCATGATCACTGATGAGCATGGTAAATTGTGTTACAGGGGCCATGGAACCTACATGGAAGATGATAAACTCTATGCGTCCGTAGCAGGCACAGTGGAGAGAGTCAATAAGCTCATCTGTGTTCAGCCGCTTAAAAGCAGGTACCTACTGAATTACAATAAGCAGCAAGAAGAAGAATCCGGGTTTATCTAACAATGTTGGCCCTGCAGCATTAGTGTGTGTAGGCAGCACTAACTCACATTTTGAGAAAATATGAGTTAAGTTTGCAATAAAAACCATCAACCTATCGTTAGTATGCACGTGTATCTGTCATGACAGGATTACTTATATATGTATATATAAACTTGTTAATTACTACATTCCTGTCAGGGAAAAAATAAAATTTATTTTTTGGTGGTTACTTTTCAAGCTTGCGTGCATGAAAATAGCACTCTAAAATTTGGTTTGCATTGAACTTTATGCAAATTTCCGGGGGCTCTTTTTGGCATTTCCGGGTCTCTTTTTGGCATTTCAAGGGCTAAATCGCCCCGAGCCCTCGTATATTTTTTTCACTGATTCCTGTCTTTGGTGAGTCTTGAGAAGTTATTGCATGCATGATGTTAACTTGCAGGTTTTGGTTGGAAGTGAACCCCTTTTGATGTAGTTTTAATGTGTTCGAATTTTGTAATAGGTTTACAGGGCCTAATCTAGCTGCTTAATATGTGCACCAGTGGCGAGCGTAGCGAGCGTAAACATATTATATATATACTTATCTATCACATTACATTGGGCGTTTGGTCGACACATTTTATTCAGATAATAGATTATAGATCTTATATGAGCATTTTATTATAAAACAGTGTCTACATAACGATAGAAACATGGAGATCTGCAGCAGGCCTCTGCTAATTTGAGCATTTTATGAATTTTGTAATTTGGGCGTTTTGCTAGGGGTCGTAATTTCGGCGCCGGTATTTGGTATGAAAAATGGCTTGGAGTAGGCCCTGGTTTAATAATTTTTTCATTCATGTTTGCACTCAGGTACAGTGGAGAGGTTGGAGACGTTGTGGTCGGAAGGATAGCAGAGGTTGGACAGAAGCGCTGGAAGGTAGACACAAATAGCCGCCTTGACTCGGCTTTGCTACTGTCTTCAGTCAATCTACCTGGTGGAGAACTGGTAAGATATAATTCACAAAGCAACGTAGTTAGTGACAATGCTACCACTACTCCTAGGTAATGAATGTACATACAATTGGGAAGATGTAATCCAATAAATCAGCGTATTTGATGGCAACGCTGTTCTTGCAAATTTAATGTTTACTTCGAGAACTTGTGAGTAATAGTGTCACTAACAGTGGAAGCATTCTTTCCAGAGAAGAAAGACAGCAGAGGATGAGTTGATGATGAGGCAGTACTTGTCTGAGGGAGATTTGATAAGTGCAGAAGTGCAGGCAGTCTTCCACGATGGCGCATTATCGTTGCACACACGGAGTCTTAAATATGGCAAGGTGCGTGGAGCGTCAACGATCTGTAATACCTTTATTATACACCTATGTAGTTCATTCCGGATGACTAACACTAACAAATTTTAATTTGGTACATTTTAATAATGTTCGCATACATGTGCAAAATGTAAAGTTGTATGGTTAGTGTTATACTTGGTATGGTATACTTCTGCCGTTGTCAGGCATTACATTTGCTTTGCGTTCATTTGCAGTTGTCACAAGGAACGCTCGTCAAAGTATCGCCGTCCCTCGTGAAGAGACGCAAGACGCACTTCCACAACCTTCCTTGCGGCGCGAGCGTAATCGTCGGTAACAACGGCTACATCTGGATCAGCCCCACCGTGAATGAAGAGGCAGATAGCACAGGCGGATTTGTGCAAGACCTGAACGTGAGCGCGCGCCCGTCGCCGTCTTTACCTGAACGCGCGTAGTCGACTAAGCTGGAACGTGGGCCGGAAGTCGTCCGAGTAGCGCGAAAACAATCGCGCCAAACATCACTGGCAAATAACCGACTCAGCTCTAGACGTTTTGGAATTGTTTCCAGTTGGATTGCAAGTCCCGGGCGGTGATTCCGTGTGCGTGTGAATTTTAAAATGACCGGTTGATGTTACGTCCTCTCGTATTTTATGGTCGTTTTCACTCGAAACTATGACTCGCTGGAGTTCCGCCTCCCTCGCGTTACTGTAGATGATGTGTTTGCATTGTAGCCCGTTGCGACAGCGGACAGGGAGGTGGTCGCCCGGCTGCATAACTGCATTCTGGCGATGGCGCGTCATCGCATGATGTTGTCCGACACCAGCATTATCTACACATACGAGGCTTCTCTCGCAATCGGAAGTTTGGTGAGTGTGCAGAACACGTGAATAAAGATTCGACCATTCACATGTCTAGGAATCATCTAACCAGGGTGTTAGCCAGGAAAAAAACAGGGAGTCTCACCATCTGAGCGAAGCGAGGATGCTGCGGGCACGAAACGGGTGTGGGAGAAGGATATGATTATATTTTTATGCAGGGGTAAAATTGGGCCGCCCTCATGCCGTCTCTATCAAATTTCATCCGTCTCATCCACGGATAGGTCCTCCAATAGACGGGTAGACGGGTCTCTGTCTAACACACTGCATGTAACCATCGGTAACTGGTGTCGGGTGGTGTACTTGCATGCACAAAGAAATGTGTTTCTGTACGCCATACTCGTAACTGCTTGGTAGGATTAGTGGAGAGCGTTTGCTGACGTATAACTCTCGGCACACGAAATGCTGCAGTTGGGTTTGGTTTAGGGATGTGTGAGGTTGTGCGAAAGCATAGCGAGATGTAAGGCCACGCGCACAGGCACTTGGGACAGAGTCAGTAAAAATTGAAAAATAATTTGAATGCACATTCACAAATACTAGTACCTCTCAATTACACTTTCACTGTTGTGTCACTGTATATCAACTTTCTTTCACGAAAACTAATGCAGAACGCTCCCGCACTCGCCGCTGCGAGTGTTCTGTGTCGCCATTATAATGAATAAGTATATATAGAGAAGGTAGGAAACTCCCTTACGCGATTTTCGTCGATCACTCCTCGCTTCTTTCAAATTTCGCAAAACTTGTCAGGCACATACGACCTCAATTTTTGCCTCGTTCTGCCCTCTATAGTCCACTGAACAAAACTATATAACTACCGTGGCCGATAAGTGCAACCTTGCTTTGTAATGTGACTTCAAACTCAAAAGTTTCGCGGTTCGTGCCGATTCTGCTGGAATGTATACCGTTGTATACCGTTCATGAGTCCCACTTTCCCTGCGGGTGACCGGCGCAGAGCGTGATTGGCTGCAGGCAGATCGCGTCATCTCCAGTTGTCTCCAGTGTCCAATCGTGCTCCTCGGCACCTGGCTCGGGGCCATTCGCACTCGCCTAGCCCCAAAACAGTTGTTACTCCTATGGGAGAGATGACATCTTCCTATTATGTTTATTTCGTCTAACTGGTTAACAACTCTACAATCATACCTATATACGTGTAATATTGTGTTTTAGATTCTTTGTTACATTAATTTGACTGGAATATTTTATTAGCTCATCTGACATAGTCAGATGCAGCTTGTAGAATCGCATGATTGTGCGTCCGTCCGGCCGTGCGTCCGTGCGTGCGTGCGTCCGTCAACAGTTGGGCACAAATCTAAACGGCTCGACGTACGGTCACGATATTCGGGACGTGGGGGGGTAATCCGAAAACGAGTTGGGATGTCGAAGCTGGGGGTCAAAGGTCAAGAGGTGTAAAAGAAGGGGGAACATTCCCTCCTTAACTTAAGGTATAGCGAGGAAAAGCAGAATTGTGGCACAAATCTAAACGGCTCGACCTAGACTCGTGATAGTCGGTGTATAGCATCATGGTAGGAAAAGCCATCACTGTGCCGAAATTGGAGGTCACAGGTCAAAGGTCAATGGGTCATCACTGTGCCGAAATTGGAGGTCACAGGTCAAAGGTCAATGGGGCACAGGGCAGATTTTAGACATTTTCTGAGGACATGGTCTGACAGAGCGATTGAAAACCTTTTTGTTTCAACGGTGACCTACCATTTTTATGGCTTTATTGAAAGGACCATGAAATGTACTTTCCGCTGACATGCGAAGAGTAAGTGTCGGATAACTTTTTGATCCTAAAGAGGAGGGTTAAACATGGATTTGTTGACTGTTAACAAAGGACTGAACTGCTTTTGCTATTGTGGAAGTGAGGCTACAGTTGCACAGTTCAATTGCAAAGGCAAATGTTTGTTTAACAAGGTTTACGCTGCTTAAATCATATTATTTTCTAAAGCAGTCTGTATTAGCACCCTGAGTAGCACCCTGTATTAGCACACTGTAATGAACCCTGAATGCTGACGTGGGTAGGCAAAAACATGGGGGCAGCCAATTTTGCATGCATGGGGGTGAACTGGCACTATTCTAATCATAATTATTGCCTGGCAACCTGCAATGCAGATGTGTTAACTCACAGCTGAGCGAAATTCTCGCCTGCCTGAATATACTTGGATTTCAGCAACTCAATGGAGTGAGGTTATCACGCATGAAGGGTGATGCCATCTTTGATTATTGATTACACTTGCACGCGCCATCTCGAGGCAACTATAGGCCTAGTTTAAATTAGATTTTATTCTCATGTATCTTTGTTAAATGAATAAATAATAACTAGTACCATATAATATATATTTACTTTTCATCTTGAATCTTAACATATATCATGTAGCTATGGTCGTGCGTATCCATTTACCAGTTATGCGAACATAAGCAGTTACCATAGAAATATTAGAGACACTATATATTATTATTTCTATGGCTGTTACACTCAGGTGTATAGGAACGAAGTATTATTGAGGGGGCAGTAAAAGGCATCATCGCTGGTACCTCACCTTACCCCTCGCTCAGCGCACCGTAAGATCCCGCTCAGCGGTTACGATCAGCACATCCTGTCAGGAAGACTTCTCTGGTATCCCGTCTCATCTGGTTTTTTTTTAAATTTATATATTTAAGAGAGAGAGAGAGAAAGTCTAAGATAAAGAGAGAGAGAGTAGTAAATTGAGACGGGGACAGGAAAACGGCGATACGGTGTGTATGCGAGCTGGAAACGGGGTACAATTAGGTCGTGCGAGATGGTGTGCAAGGGGATGGGAGGTGGGAGGCAGGGGGAGGGAGGCCGAAGGCAGGTGGAGGGAGATGGGAGGTAAGGGGGAGGGAGATGGGAGGTAAGGGGGTGGAAGTGAGAGGCAAGGGGAGTGAAGTGGGAGGCAGGGGGAGGGAGGTGAGAGGCAGGTGCGACGCAGTGGTAAGGGAGGTGGGAGAGAAGGACCCCCCGCCCCCTCTAATTAAACTTGCAGATCCATGCCCATATGTTGAAATCTTTTATGTCAACATCCATGTCATATCATTCATTAACTTGTATTTGAATTGTTATTATTGTTCTTGTTATTAGAATTAGCCCATAGAGATTAGGTGGGTGCGAAAGTGTAGCTGATATATTTGTTCGAATTGGCTACGAAAGTCAAACAAGAATATAGAAGACTTATGTATAAGAAGTCTTGCTATGCACAAATGAATTTATCAGCAGAACACCAGACACCAGATGAGCCTTGTTGCACTGCGGCACTTGTTGTTTTTATTTGCGCGATATTCGAAAACCAAAATGGTGATAATTTAGGCATACCACCATCTCTCGTCAAGATTTCAGACTTTCAGATCTGAAACATTTATTTTTGCATCAAAACTTATGCATATATCATTATCAAGAGTATATATATAATGGGAGATATATGCTATATAATGGGAGTTCTCCCATATATACTCTTGCTTTATATATCCCCCCTCCCTCTTCTATCACACCCAAGGTGAGCTACAGTGTCATTGACACTTTCATTTCCAGTTACTGTTGCTTTTAAACAGGATCCCCTGATTTTCTTTTTAGGTCAAAGATCTGCTGAAGCCGGAGATGGAATCAGAAGTGGTAACCATGGCCAGGGAAAGACTGGAAACGGAATCCTAGCACTACACATACAATTATTACATATTTTGCCAGTAGATGGTGCTGTTGCTTCATTTGACATACCTGCTCCTCGATTTATCCATGATGAAATCACGTTTATTTTATCCTGCGTGGTCATCGTTGTTCCAGAGTTACTTGGTCATATAGTGTGGCGAGTTCATGGTGTTTGCTCCGAGGAGCTTGTCATTTGTTGACCTGCATGCGTACTTGAAAAATGGCTGTAATTATGCTTCCTAACGACGGGAGCAAACACTGGAGCCTCGCGACTTCCTAATTTCATACTAGCTGTTTACACGTTGTTACTAATATCCCGTGCGCCGGAAACCAAGGTCCTTTGTTCGCCGTAATGGGAAAATTATGCTTTAGTTTGCATTTGTCAGACTGTTGTAAAATTATGACAGGTGGTGCGCATGCGTGCGGGTACGTGCTTGGGTATTAGTTGTAATCACTCGAGTAAGAATTAGAAAATTAATCGTCTGGTTTTTACTTCGCTCTGTTGAAATGTACAGCGCGAGTGCGATCGTGAGTAAAATTTCAAGCTTTGTGAGGTAACGTCGCACGTCGATGTAAGCATTCTGAGCAGGATTTTCAATCGATTTCTTCGGGAATTCATAAACGGTCCGATTTATAGCATTTGCGCTATGAGCTTACGGCACAAAGTGGAGTTGTAAATCTAATATCTAATGATAGAATGACGTGATCAGCACGGCGATTCTCGGTAAAAATGTAGCTATCTCACGTGTAGCTTGCGTGAGTCACTGTAAAAATATCTACCAGACGGGAACATCGCAGCATTATGGTTTTTTAAATTAACTACGTGGTGTGCAAAATATGCCTGCTATCGGTGCAACGCAGCGACTGTAAGTAAATGAGAACTTCCCTACTCGCGGCTTGGTCCTGTACTTTGGAGACGAGACGAGCCAGACATGTAAAACAGGCTGCCACGTTGTATCGGTGCCGATTGACTGGCGTCTGGCAGACCTGGTTTTAGGAAATCGCGCTGGCAGGTATTGAAATCGGGAGCGTGGAACGAAATGCGATACAGTCGGGTGCAGTCGCAAAGACGCGTTCTGAAAGGGGACCAGTGTGACGGAACGGCATGATGGTATGGTAGCACGACCTGCCAACCCCCTCTCTCTAGAACCGTGTGCTAACTACTGATGCCGCTGCGTTGTGAATCTTATTTCGAGGGACCAGAATCTTGTCAACGAATATAGTCAGAAGAATTGCCTGAAATAAATTATGGCAAATCCAAATGACATGTCTGATTTTTTTCCCGTGATGCGCTGATTGCTCGAATTTGTCGAGTGTCGTTCCTTTATCCGTAATTGGAGTTTTACTCTCGTGTGTCACATCCTTCGAGAAATGCCGCCTAGCGCCAATGAAAAGTGCAGTTCTGAGGATTAATGGAAGCATCTCGATGGTGGAAAGTTGTGAGCGAGTAGCTATGTTGATTGTTTCTATTCTATTTTTGCGAGTGTTTTCAAATTGTTTGCATCGTCGGATGTATAATAAATGTTGAAGATTAGATTTACTTAAATATTTCACAGGCGATAATTTATCGTCGTAATTCATCGATAATCATCAATCAGTCTGCGCTACCGATGAGCGATCAATCATGGAGTTTAGATCGATTCCCAACGCTAGTCGTTACTAAGCGGTATTCGCTTGCCACTATCTCAGTCATCTGGCCGCCACGGCAAGCGTCTATGCAAAATAGCTGCGAGTCGAGTGTTCGCGTTCGTGTTTGTTATCGTTTTAGTAAAGTGCGTTTCAAAACACTTATCGTGTAGCGTTTCGGGAAGATTTGCTGCAGCGTGTGGTGTAGTGCGTGGCGGCAAAGGGGCGCAAGCATGCTGGTTCTCGTGGGATTAAGGTTAGAGTTAGGTTTAAGCGTAGGCATCCGGAATCTCTAATCATACTCTTAACCCTAGCGATAGCCGTAATATCAATTTTACCATTAACCCTGCACCTCACCGTGACCCTGATCGCGAATCTAATCGTAACCCCAATTATGGCACTAACACTAACCCTATCCCTAGTTACAACTTTACGACTATTCCGAAACCTAACCGTAACCCTGACCCTAACCTAACCATAACCCCCTGTGGTAGTTAAAGTATTAGCGAACCTGGGACACCACACTTGACCACAATAACCTTCTACACGTCTCCACTCTAGTGTGTTTATGTGCGTGCTTGCGTGTGTGTGTGTGTGTGTGTGTGTGTGTGTGTGCGTGTGCGTGGGTGCGCGCGTGGGTGTGCGCGTGTGTGTGTGTGCGTGTGTGTGCGTGTGCGTGGGTGCTTGCGTGTGTGTGTGGGTGCGTGTGTGTGTGCGTGTGTAGCTACTCTCTCTTCTGTCTGTCCTGTCTCTCCGTTTGTCTGTATCGTGCGCGCTCGTCGCTCATCCGGCTCCCCTATGTCTTCATCTCCTCAGTCGCCTCCTCTCTCTCTCTGCCTACTTCTCTCTGCTCTCTCTCTCTCTCTCTTCTCTTTCTCTTTCTGTCTGTCTGTCTCTCCCTTTGTCTGTATCGTGCGCGCTCTCGCTCCGCAAGAGGAGAAGAACGAGATTACTTTATTGTGGTTCGTCTTTTTTACTAGGTCATACTCTTCCTCCACCTCATTAATTTCTCTGGTCCCCATTGATCGTTTTTCCCCCCGTATAACTTCCTTAATTTGTAACTAGTACTTACTTATTTCTACTTATTGTAACTTAAACCTACTTATTGTTTGTTTAGTAACTTCTCATTACTTTAAACAACTTATGTTGTTGTTTTTACATCACGTTACGTCCTCTTCCCATTTACATAACTCTCTCTAATGTGTTTTTTTTTACTACTACTTTCTCTCTTCTTCTTATTGAGTAACTACCGTTCTTGCTCTCTCTGGTCAATCATCTCTCCTGCCTGCTAATCTGTTCTCGTAGTTACGCTTCTCTCTCTCATCTCTTCTCGCCTCCTTCTTTCTCTTCCCTCCTCTCTCTCTTCTCTGTCTCTTTGGCTTAAAGTTCACGTTCTCTCTCTCAGTACTTCGGGCTCTCACATTTTCTGT